TCTGCTTCAAGCTAATGTAAGGTACTCACCCAGTTTTAGTCAATTTAATTCTCTAACCATCTAACATAACTTACTCACAAGACCTTCTCAGTGATACCTTTCCTTATCTCAACCTTTTAATGTCACGTCATTGCCTACCTTTTGTTCGTACTTCTGCCTTATTCCTACATGACAAAACACATGACATTTGACGTGACCCGTTGCATGTTGTACCACGCCGCATCACATGACAAAACACTAGTAATAGCTGAACTTGTAGACACAGCTGGAATATTTTCTGGTCTCTTTATTTTCACTTATTCATGTACAGTGAATATTTATGGAGAACCTATTTGTGCCAGTTCTCTCCAATACGTGATTCAGTCTGGTCTAATGAAATTTCTTTAAGAAGTTTTTACAGACATTGCTGATGGTATGTATGATCCAATTTTTTTCCTAGTTATCCTTTCTCCTTTTACTATAGACATCTACCCACAATCCTTTGGATAAAATCCTCCTGCATCAACCAAATACCTACATGCTTCCCCAACAAGTCACAGTCCACCGGGATTCAGATAATACCCTCTGGCTATAATGAGTTATTTGCTGTTCTACAAACATATATTCTCTCAGGCCCACTTGTCCCTGACAAGCTATTCCTTCTGCTTGGAATGCATACTTCCAAAACCAAACCCATTGCTGCCAAGTCGACTCCAACTCAATAGCAACCCTATAGGACAGAGTACAACTGCCCCATAGGGTTTCTAAGGCTGTAATCTTTATGGAAGCAGACTGCCACATCTTTCTCCCACTGAGTGGCTGGTGGGTTGGCACCAGGGCTTGAATTTGTTCCTGTTCAAACTGCTGCTAAGCATTTGCATTTCTAATAAGTTTCCAAGTGATGCTAATACCACTGGTTAGGGACCAATTCTGAGAATCACTAGTAGAGCAGTATTTCTCAAAATTTATTATACATAAGAATCACCTAGATATCTTGTTAAAATGTAGATTCTGAATCAGTATATCTGGGGTGGAAATGCAAATTCCCAGTAGGGGTTCAAACAGGAAAGAACTGGTTTTCCAACCCCTGACCTTTCATTTCACAGCCTAGTGCTTTACCACTGTGCCACCAGGGCTCCTGAATGCATACTTAACAAAACAAAATCAAACCCATTGCCACTGAGTCGATTCTGACTCCTAGCGATCCTGTAGGACACAGTAGAACTGCCCATAGGGTTTCCAAGTCTATAAATCTTTACGGAAGAAAACTACCATATCTTTCTCTTGTGGAGAGGCTGGCAGGTTCGGAGCAGCTGGCAAGTGGTTAACTCCTGGGAATGCACACTTACTCCTCCTTTATTTAACTAATTCGTAGTCTTACTTTAAGTCCCCAAACAAGCTGATTCTCCAAAGATAAGTGATTTTTCCTTTGTGCTCTCATGACATGTGGTGTATATATTTAATCAGGATGGCACTTCTTTACCTGTCTATCTCCCCACTATGCCAGAACACCTGGAGGGCAAAAATAGCATCCTGCTAATATTGATGCTCTCCTCTTTCCACCCAGCACATACTGCTGTCATTGTTGTCGTCATCATTTGCTGTGAAGTCCATTACCCATAGTGACCCTATAGGACTGGGTAGAAATGCCCCATAGGGTTTCCTAGGCTGTAATCTTTATGGGAGCAGATTGCCAGGTCTTTTCTCCCTTGGAGCTGCTGGTGGGTTCAACCCGACGAGCACTTAACCATTGTGCCAGTAGGGCTCCTCAGCACATACTGAGCACTCATAAATATTTGTTGAGTCAATGATGAGGGTTGACTCACTTATCTACACCTAAAGTAAACAAAAATTAAACATTTATAAAGTAATATCCTTCCTCATCCTATTACATCAACAGTTATAGGAAAAGAGCCGAAAAGTAATTGGTCTCCGTAGGGTTTCCAGTAGAGTTCTAAATCTCTTAAATAATAGCTAACATTAGACTCTTTCTGAGCATGTATCTTACCATCTTTGATATTTTATACATACATTTTTAGCCAGAATCTACATACAACTGGAAATATATAATACAACATCGAATCCCTTCTGGTTCTAGAAGAGTTTCCATGATCAGTACTCATATTCCCTAAGTTTTTTAGGCACTAGCCTATGTAATCTTAGTTTGGGCTCCCCCAGAAACAGTCTCTGAAACAAGGATTTAAGTGCATGTAGTTTAATTTGGAAGTGTCCCAGGAAACACTGGTAGAGGAGTGAGCAGTGAGGAGCAGTGAGACACGGAAGGGAAGGAGGCCAGAACAGGGCACATTAGATGAAAAGGTAGGTGGTTAAGCACCTCTGTGGGAGAAAGACCTGGTCATCTGCTTCTGCGAAGATTACAGCTGAGAAAACCCTATGAGGCAGTTCTACTCTATCACAAGGATCACTATGAGTCAGAATTGACTCGATGGCACCTAACAATAACAACAATCCAATACACCTTAACTCGTGGCCACCTGAAGCTCTGTCCTACTGGAGAACTTCCGAAAACAGAGTAAAACCTGACCCAGGTTCCAACCTCAGGGGGCAGAATTCCATCCTCAGGGGAAGAAAGCTGGTGTATTTATCCTCCAACTCACATTGTCATGGAAACCCTGGTAGCATAGTGGTTAAGAGTTCAGCTGCTAACCAAAAGGCTAGCAGTTTGAATCCACCAGGTGCTCCTTGGAAACCCTACGGGGCAGTTCTACTCTGTCCTATAGGGTCACTATGAGTCAGAATCTACTCAGCAGTAATGGGGTTTGGGTTTTTTGCTTCCCATTGTCATCCACTGAGGGCTAACTTTCTGGCATTTCAGGCCTATTCTTACCTGGACTGACAGAAAGCCTTCAGGTTAAAGTCGCAGGTGTTTGCAGTAGGCAACCTTAGGAGTTAGCTGGAAAAATGAGGGCTAAAGGATCTAGATGGGGCAGCAACAGCGTCTGGTTCAAGTAAGCTAGCATACAAATAAAACAGCGTGTTTTCTAGTCACATTCCAAATGTTCCAAATAATCAAAAGATATTTTTCACGTATTGTCACGTATTGGACTCTAGAACAATTTTTAAGTAAAGTATCTATAGAAGAAAGACTAGCCCAAGAAGACTACTTACTGGAAGAGTTGAAATCTTTTAGAATGAATCAGAGGACAATGTAGAGCCACCATCACATCGCTAAAGGACTGCCCTTGTGCAGACAGCTCTTTGTGGATTCAAAAGATACAAGGAGTTAGTGAAATGTAACCAGAGTTTTGATTCCACCAGTATGCAAGCAAACAGTGCTTCTCACCCCCACCCCCACCCCAGATGCATCCCATAATGTATTCAAAACCATTAAGGCCAGATGAAGTGAGGGAAGGATTCTGTCTTTTTTATTCCAATGCTCATCAGAAATAAGTTCTGGAATAAACACCTAACAGACCCAGAACAACCACCCCCAGCTCCTACTTACCTGACCATGAGCAGGAGCCAGCTCTTTCCATTTTGGTAATATTTTTCTTTTTCAGGAGGATTTTTGCCATTTTCTACCCCTATGTCTTGATTGATCAGAGCCATTTGAGTTTACATTTTAAAAAATTCCCTGATTTCAAATCTCAAGAAGCTCTTGGATATCTTAGACCCCTTTCCTTCCAGAGTCCCCTGAACTCTGCAAATGATCCCCTCCTCTCAAAACATTCACATCAAGGAAAACTTTTATTAAATCATGGAGGGCAGAATGGAGAGGTGGTAGATTTCTTGTTACTCTCTTATTCCCGGAATATGTATGAATGATTACTTCCATTTTGATTACTTGCCTCTCTTTTATGTCTCAACCCAAAAAGAATGGCTGCTGGAGGGGGGCTCTGAGTTTCCATCACTGGAGAATTTCAAACTAAGGCTAGGTAATACTTCTCAGGGATGTTATAGAAGTGATTTATGCATCACATGGGTTGGACTAACTGACCGCTTAATCTTCGCTTCTGATTTGGAGATTATATCTTTCCATGAGAATTTTCCAGCTTGCCAAAAACATTTCCTTTAGGGAGTTGTCTCTGCATCAGATTTTATAAGCAACACTTGCATTAGGCCAAAATAGGACTTTCTCATCACAACATTTTTGTAAAACTAAGATTTCCAAGGGAAAGTGGGGCCTCATTATCTGAGCTCATTATCTTAGTACTGGCCTCAGCATTGGCCCAGGAAATACTTGTGTGGATTTGCTAGGGGTTGGCAGATGGGTTGATAGGCAAGTGCCCAGCTGCTTGTCATACTTCTGATGAAGAAAGCCTGCCCCGCACATTCACACAGCCGACTCCTGACAGCAGGGACCGCAGAGCAGTGAATTTGGCATCTGCATCTTCTAACCACCACATGCTACAAACAAGAAAGTGGAAGTGAACATACACAAAATGCTAACAAAATGCCTGAGTGAAATCTATCAAATACATTACGTTAATGGTGATACCCAAAAAAAACAAAACAAAAGAACAAACCCGTTGCCTTTGAGTTGATTCCAACTCATGGCGACCCCATGTAGTATAGAGTAGAACTTTTCCATAGAGTTTTCTTGGCTGTAATATATTTATATTTATTTTTTTTATATGTTTTTTTTTTTTCCTGAAACCACATTTTTAACTTTAATTGAATCATTCCAAGTCACTAATTCAGAGCCTCATGAACATGAGACTTCTGTTCAGCTCTCTCAGGGAGAGGATTCATTCTGATATTTCTGCTTCAATAAAAAGTTATAATATTATGCTTGGTACTCAGAGAACCAGTTATTAACTTCTTGCGACTATTATAAACAATAACAGCTCAGCCCAGGTTATGGTGACCTCTGACAGACCGAGGAAACGAGTCATTTTCTCCACTTGTGATTATGGCACATTGCAAGATGCATCTTGCCTTTTAATGAAAAGGGCACTCTGAGGTTCCCTTTCAACTCATTTAATTTCAAAAAGCTGTCAAAAAGAGCCAATATGCAAATACTGAATGACATTTTGTTGGGTGTTTTAAACCCTCAAATTCTAGACTATAAAAACATCTTGTGTGTCGCCCACCTGGACCACCCTGCTGCTTTTCCATATACCACAGGCCACCCAGAGACTCAGAGCCAGGGAGCCGCATGGTCTACTTGGGGCCAGTAGACAGGGGAGGAGGGCAATGAGTAATGATGATGCACTAATGGACAAAATGTAGTTCCCAGTGGAGTTAAAGTTCTTTAGGATACAGAAGGAAGCAACAATGACCAGGAACAGGAACAGGGTGTTGTTATAAAAGATAGAAAATGTTGTAGCTTCATACTCAGCAACTTCGTTCTTCTTCCACAAGATTCTTTCATCCTCTCCTTCTGAGACATCTTTCTATTGTCAGCCTAAGAAAGTTTCTGAGTCACTTCTTCGGGAAGAGCATCCTCCCTCTTCTGTGCTACTTTGTGCTTGAGAACAAATTTTGCATTCTTATATGCAAAGGCTACCAAGTAGGTGCTTACTAGGGTCATCACACTATACAGAACTGCAGACTGAATAAGATCCATGTCCCATATTCGCCAATAGAGCCAGATGGGGATGGCCGACACAATGAAGGCATTCCTGAAGAAGAGCGCCAAGGACTTGGCCGACAGAGTACAGCTGAAGTCCTGCAGGAACCGATCCTCCTCAGACTGCCGCTTGGAGCTGCCATTGGGAGACATCTTGGCTGTAATCTTTATGGAAGCACATTGCCAGGACTTTCTTCTGTGGTGCCACTGGGTAGGTTTGAACTGCCAACCTTTAGGTTAGTAGTCAAGTGCAAACTATTAGCATCTCCCAGGGATCGAAATAATGGTAGTTGTTATTTTTGTTATGTGCTGTCAATTCTGACTCACAGTAAACCTATAGTACAGACTAGAACTGCCCGATAGGGTTTCCTAGGCTGTAATCTTTTACAGGAGTAGATCACCACATCTTTTCTTGCACAGAGCAGCTAGTGGATTTGAACTGCTGACCTCTGAGTTAGGCATCAAGCACTTAGCCATTGTGCCACCAGGGCTCCTTGTAATAATGGTACACATCCTTTAAAATTAAAGAAAAAGACATAGAGAAAGAGAGAGAAAGCTTCTACCCCCAAAGTTAGTTGTTTTGGAAACAATAGGCAGTGGTGGGTTCCCTGAATTTAATCCTTTTTATTTCCAGTCTACCTGTGCTTAGACTCAGCTTTCATGCAGACTAATGCCAAACCTATTCCTGGATATTAATAAATAAATTCAGAGTTTAGGCATGTTGTTCAAAATTAATTAGATAAGCTACGATTAGTGTCTAAATAACATTGAAGGCTCCTAATACTAGCTGTGATGGTTAATGTTATGTGTTAACTTGCCTAGGCCATGGTTCCAAGTTGTTTGGCCAAACACTATTCTAGTTGCTGTTATGGAGTAGTTACATGTGCTGTTATGAAATAGTTACATAGTTACATGTGATTAGATCAGCTGACCTTAAGTAAAGCAGATTCCCTTCCATAATGTAATCAATCAATTGAAAGTCATAAGAGCAAAGAGGGAGTTGATGTGTTCCACCTCCAGACTATAAATAGATATTTTGACAGAACTGCCACTGTCATTCTTCCTGTAGCCTGACCCAGGGATTTGGAGACCTGACCTATGGAGCTTGGGACACAATGCTGCATGAGTCTCCAGCCTGTCACCTGACCTATGCCAGCCTCCTAAAATCATGTGTGTCAATCCCTTGAAGTAAATCTCTGTCTCTGTCTCTCTCTATCCGCTCAATAAGATGAATTAATACAGTGACTGCAACAATGGGCTCAAACATACCAATTATTGTGAGAATGGCACAGGACCGGACAATGTTTCATTCTGTTATACATGGGGTTACTATGAGTCGGAACCAACTCGACAGCACCTAACAACAACAGAGAGAGAGAGAAAGAAGCTGAGTATGTTTCTCTAGAGAACCCTAAGACATTATTAGCCTCTATTCATGGCCTCCAAAGCAAATGCATTTTAGTAACATGTAAATATTGCTTTCTCCGACATCTTTGAAAATTGTGTTGCTGATTTTAGGAGTCTACAATTATTTTTCTTTCACGTATATGTCATTTAAAATTCACTCAGCACCTGTTTCTTATACCATTAAGATAATTCAATGTTACAGCATTGAAAATGGGCTGAATGTTCCAGTTCACTAATCGACACATTATTTTTAACAGAAAGATTTCACAAAAGACCTATACAATAAACTTTTTTAAAAGCCTAGTATTCCAGAAAATTGTGTCATCAGTTCATCTGCAATTCATTTCTGTTGTGGAAAGATATAGCCTAGCTTCAGGAACTGCTGAAAGAACTGTCATTATATAAAACTATGATTGAAGTTTGCTTTGAAACATATTTTTAAAAGCTCTAATTGAGTTCATGGACATTTAAATGAATTCCCAGGAAACACAATGAAAGTAGTGACTACTCTGAAGAATGACAAAATTAGGAAAGCAAAACCATACAGAAAAATGTAACCCCTAAAGTCATGTTGCCTTTAAACAGGAGAGAAAAAATTCTGTCAGTAGAAGACCTGCTTTGAAATTCTCATTCTTCAGAGGCTTTCTACTCTGTGTGAATCAATCTTTGGTTTGTGGGTTCGAGGAAACTAAAGGACATTAATATTGAAGCCAGATGAAAAGTAAGTGCTCAATAAATACCTGGTATAATGAGTGGCTAAGGTTTTGTTTGATGGGCACACCTCCCTTCTTATATTAAGAACTTGTTATTGTTAGTTGTCTTTGAGTAGGCATCCATTCATGGTGACCCCACGTACAACAGAAGGAAACGTTGCTTGGTCTTCCATCATCCTCCAATGGTTGGTATGCTCTAGCCCATTGTTGCTGTCATTGTGTATTTTTAGGGGCTTCCAATCTAGAGGGCTCACCTTTCAGCACTGTATCAGACAATATTCTGCAAGCCACCACATTACAACAAACTGACAGATGGGTGGTGGACGTTAAGAGCACATACTTTGTTTTAAAGGACACCACTCTACCCTACACCCCTCCACCCTACTCCAACAATGTAGTTACACAATAGCTGCCACCACAATCACGATATCTTGTCACCCTGGCCACAGGGGCACAAGAGTCAAGCTGGATCAATTAGAATCCTCCCCTGATATTTTAAAAACTGACACAAATAAAATAGATTTTCTTTTATGATTGTGGGCAATTTGGGATGATGGAAGTTCCAAATCTATAGGCAATCATGCCTTCACAGGTAGAAAAGGCTACTGAAATGAATGCAAAACAGATAGCAGAGAAGAGAGACGGAGACAACAGTCCACGTGATGTGCAGTTCTGAGTTCCTATTTTCCCTGAAGCCCTGCCTCGAATGCTATTTATTTGACTTACTGATAAAAATTCCCCCTTTCTAGTCAAACTAGTTTAAGTTAGCTTTTCTGTTATTTGCAATCAAAAAATTCTGAGCAATACTCTTGGTATGTGATTGATTAATTGATTGAAGCATGCCATAGCTTGGTCAGTGAAAATAAACGCACATCAAGAAATGTGTGCCATGTTCACCTTTTATTAACAAAAAAACAAAAAAAAAAACCATTGCCGTTGAGTCAATTCCAACTCATAGCAACCCTATAATTGTAATTTATGACCCACACAATTGCTCCACCCACTACTGCTATAGTGACATATTACATTTATATCCCAGTTACCATCTTCCCTTCTTTATCCAACACTCTCCCCATTCATTGATATTAAAGAGTAGCCTGAATCAACTTGCACAGTGATTTTCCTGTCCTGGCTTCTGTAAGAGGTAAACAAACTATAGAAACTACAGAACTATTAATGCAAAAAAACAAAACAAACAAACAAAAAACCTCTGTTGTGCAATGTTTTACAAATCAGACCATTCTGCTAATCAGTTCTTAAGTGTATCTAAAATAGCATGATTACTGATGTCTCAAGACAGGTGGTCTGGTACAACTATCAAGACTGTCTGAAGATGGCCCTGAGACTCTCTCGGGGTTCCCTGGATAATGAACTTTCTGAGACTCTGGGCTCTCAGTGGTAGCAAATGAACTCAGACTCAGTTTACTATGAGACTAGTGGCCACCGCCCCCAAGCAGGAGGAACTGTATCTTCCCATGAGCCTCTAGCTCTTCCAGCATCAGGCAGCTGGCTCTTCCAGAGAGTGCCTCTAAACAGCCAGTATCTAAACTTTGCCTGGCTGGTGTCTTACGGGTCTAAGGACCCCCACACTGGGAAGGCTGTTCTCATACATGCCCTTGAAGAAGAGTGAGATACTGAGTGGCAACATCTCTTCCCTGAAATGGATACCCATGGTGGGTACAGCTGAGCTGTTTGGCCTCCCAGGCTCTCTTTGGGAATAAGGAAAGATGTGTGTCCTCTCTTTTTGTTGACCCATACTTTGTAAGTTTCAAAAGCCTATTCCTTAATAGAGACCATGTGACTTTGTGGAATTTATTTCAAGTTTTGTTGCACTACTGGTGATGAACCGAGAAAGGACCCTCGTCGCTTGATGTGTCATATGATGCTGTGGCAGAGCGCTCTGCAGGCATCAGTGTGGGTTCTTCTTAATCATTTTTCCTCTCTGAACTGAATACATAAAATAAGTACTGGCCTAGCTGACTTTTATACCTGAGCTTGAGCAGAGCAAAACTCAAGGACTGTATAATAGTCGAACTATGTAAACGCAGTTTGAGCTGAAGGGGTATGCTCACATCTGCCATCTCTTGGCAAAATTGAGATGCAACTCTGATGAATCCAATTCAGCAAATACATATTCCTGCTTCGCCTTGCAACATATTGTCCTAAGCACTTCAGAAGATTAGGAAATGAGCCACGTTGTTTATCTCCAAAGAGGGTGCACTGTAAGGACTTTTGTATGACCACAGACTTTACATTCTTACAGTGGCTCACTTGTTTGGATGGCTTGAACTTTTTCCACATCAGGAGGACTTATACCTGGCCTTTTCTAGACAGAAAAAGTAGATCTGTACCTAGAGTATACCTACCAGCTCACTAATTGTCTAATTCTCCTCAGGGAGGAACAGAATAGGCCCTGCTTGGAGACTAATGGCAAGTCTGGATCATGGGAACTGAAACTAAAAGGGACAAGATATTGTACTCAAAACCGTATTATCCTCAAAGTTGGACAAGCCTGAGGTTGAATATGAGCCAAGTCTGCAGAGAGCACCCAAAGTCCAAATTCCTTTAAACCACCCAGTATTCAAAACCAAACTTCAAGAATGGAACCAGAAGGGAATGACAAAGCCCAAGGGTAAGCAGGATTGACACACAGTGGGGGCCAGAGGTGGGAGGCACAGTGGAGCAAAAGCAGGAGTCTAGGACAACAGCTGCAAACAGAGCAGCTTTTATTTCCCAGAGGACTTGCGGGCACATGAGTCACACTGGTCTAAAAGTTCAAGGCCAGGGCAGACAGCAGTAAATGAAAAAAAAAATTATTCTTGCATTTATATTGTACCTGAATTATTAAATATTCTCAGGGCTAATTCCAATACTGCTGAAAACATAAATAGGCACCTTTTGTTTCATCACCTTGAGAGTGCAGAAGTTACAGTACAATCCATTGTTCTTAATCTTTCAGACAACATACATGAAGGCTGTAAAGCAAATATCTTTGCTGAACAGCATGATAAAATAGTTATTTCTGAAGTGGATCATTGAAGCTAACGTATAACATTTCAAATTCTAAAATGATAAAGCACTTTTCTGAAAAAGTTTTACAAAGCATTTTTCAGTAAAGTGACCTTCTGTGTCTCTGACCAAAGCA